AAGTGATACAGCCTAGGAAGCAGATTAAAGTTGATTGATATAGAGGGACAGTTATTTCTGTCCAAATTAGGAGGTTTTTTATGACTGAACGCTTTATCCCCTCATTCAGTGTGTAACAATGTCAGAAAGCTATGCCGTATTGTTATTGTTGTTGTTGTTTTCTTCCAAACATCAACAAATTTCACTGAATGTAGGTAGCATAATCAACATGCAATATCGTTAGTTAGGTGAAAAACCTTTTCATCTTTCACTTGTTTGATGCTTTCGCAAAAAATAGGATGTTGAGCAAGCCATATGGAAGGTCATCATTTGTTAGTGTAAATAATAAACACTGGGTGGTAGGTTATTCATGCAGTGAAATTTGTGAATAGTTTATTGACGTTTTCATAAACTACTACAGCATTACTGTGTCCACTGAACAGTTAAAGGAGCGGAGATGTAAATTCAGTTCTTTGTTTATCCGGAAATATTTAGGCATTGATTGATGATAATATTCAGTTAGCTAGGTAACGTGAGATTATATGCATAGAAACAAAATTTATAATCACATTTATCTTTTGCATCATTGGGAGCCTAAATCAAAAATGCAATAGTTTTCAATGGACTTCACGACAAATATTACAGCATTCGATTGGTGACACATTTAAATTGTCCGCCATAAATTACGTAAAATCGATTGACTGATGAATTTGAATTGGTGGGCAAAAGTCAAGTTGAAGATGAAGCAGAAGCCATTTACGCTTTACATAGAAATGTACAGAGTACAAATTAACTAGATAACAAAATCCCATTTTTAGATGTATCAATCAGGAGAACCAACACAGGAAATTTAGAAACACAAGTATGTAGAAAATCAACACACCCACAGATCAAATACTCAACTAAACTAGCTATAATCCAATTACTCACAAACGAAACTGTGTGCAGACATTGTTCAAAAGAGTTCAAACACATTGTAGCACTCCAGAGTTGAAAAGAATGGAAGAAAAATATCTACAAATAGTCTTCAAAAAGAATGGTTATCCACAAAATTTCATCAAAAAGTGTTTAAAGTCGAATCACATTACCAACAAAGAACCATCATCAAAGACCACAAGAAAATTCATCATACCATACATGAGAAATATCTCTGAAATAACAACTAGAATACTTGAAACCGTTTGCTATAGATATAGCACACAAGCCAGTCAAATCGCTTAATTCGATATTATGCAAACCGAAAGATCCAACAGAAAAAGGAGATAAAATTAATACTATTTACAAAATAAATTGTATGAACTGTAACAAGCATTACATCAGCCAAAGTGGGCGTCCCCTTTGAATCAGAATCCAAGAACACAAATCAGCCGTGAAAAGACACGATATATATTCTTTAGTATCAATGCATATAGACAATTATGGACATTAATTTGATTGGGATAATGTCGAGATCTTAGACAGAGGAAACACTAAATGTGCCAGGGAATTCCTAGAAGCCTGGTACTCAAACGAGAATGCAATTAACAAGCACGTTAATATAGACGAAATATACCAACTAATAAAGTAAATCAGGAGACCAGAAAGTTTAAAATCCAAGTCAATAGAAAGTGATCTGTACGTATGTAAAGATGGTTACCGGGAGAGGCAATTATATCACTCATGAAGAAATTTGAATCATTTCACTTTATGCTAAATATTTCTCTGAAGATGTTGTCGAGAAGGACGACGAAAGGTCCACAACTAAACTAACCACCTCGGAGAACACTATGAATTGCATATTTCTCATTCTGTCACACCTATAGGCTTATTTTTTCACGTTAATTGTACGCCTTGCCTTTTTTTGAATGTGAAAGTCAGTCACTGGGACATAGTACTAGAAATTTCAGTGTCTTTTACAGCTTCGTTCGAATTCTAGATCACCCTTATCTGAAGTCCACTACTTCAGTTGCGTCACATATCCGTATCTCATATATGCTTGGTAGTGATAGTGATAGCTTTAACCCCCCCCCCCCAAGTGAATTAACTTTTCGCAGACACTTTACATTTCCTGATGACCGATGGCTTTCATACAGTGTATTAAATCATCAAGATGTCGGCATTTCCATTCAAAGAAGTTATGGTTCTTGTGAACGCCTTCAGTCATTTGAGTTGGTTGCTAAATTAGTATTCGCATAGGAGAAGCCAGTGGCTTGTCTGGTGAATACAGTTCAAGAAGATGTAAAAAAAACAGTGCCTATGATTATTGTAGGAAGACAAGGACCAAAATACATTTGCCACTCTTTTAGGAGTTGGTCAAAATATTCGTGACTAAGGGTATAAACCTGGTGGACATGACAGAAGTGACGCGTGGAACCATAGTGTAGCTCAATGTTCCAGATAACTTTCTTCTTCAAATGTAATCATAATAGTTTGCGTCGTTAGCATGTGTATGAACAAGCAAATGATCAGCGTCTTCTGGACACACATACACACACTCCAGAACACTTGGATAAACCTTTCATATGACAACTGTTCACCATAATTGGTTAGTCAATGATCTGTCTGTCTGTCTGTATACCAACAAGTTAGTATTAGAATTCTGCATACACGTACATTGCCGCATACTAAAGGTTGGTAAACTTCGTTACATCAAAAGATTTCAGATCAGTACCATACATTGCACAGAAGCATTCGTTTTATACTTTATGCAATATCAGTAAACTGAATGAGCAGAGAAACAAACAGTGTATTGAATTTATGTAAAGTCTGAACAATTTGATGTACTTGAGAGGTTCAATCAACGACTAGATACAACTGGGGTATCGCCAGTATTCCAACCGATAGTTATTTGGTTCAACTACACCTGACACGATTTTGAAAAGCCTACAGTTAGTAAGTAGGAGAACGCGTCACTGTCAACATGATCTATGATTTCCTTCTATACTATTACTTAAAAGAGGACGCTATGTGAGGCTTTTTTGTAGGGAAATACTTCGAAATATTTCAAACAACTGACTAATCAAACCTCCCACCTCTTCCCGTGTAGATACTCGTCAAATTGTCCACATATATGTGTATTTGTGACCGAAATCCAGTTGATTCATAATCCTATGTATTTGAGTGGTCTGACAGCAGGTCTGTTGCCTTATTTCATGTTCATTTACTGAGGCTAGATTATGGTCTTAGTAGGAATTCAACTCATTACTCAGGTGTTGCACAAACTGAGATCTCTTATCAAATAATTAGTCAATCACGTAACGCGGTATTTTATGTATCCTAGAAACAGGATTAAGTTGCCTGAAGGCTTTAGTGGGAAATCCAAGTTGAGGGTGACTGGATGGCGGTCGAACTTTATATTGGCAAGTTGACAGAAGTTATAAACAATGGGCAGTTAGATTTCGTCTCAATGATTCAATAGTACATGAGCTCGCCTCCTTACCTGAGGGTCCTGCATCCGATCCTTAGATTGTTCAGTGATGGTTACTGTTAAGGAGTCCCAGATAAGGATGAAACAGCCCTCGAGTACTCCCTGGTTTTCACAGTGAGGTAAGTTTGTAATAAATCTTTTGTTCTAAAAACAGTCGAAAAATTCCAAGTCAAACCGTCTGGATTTTATTACCTTAATGATGACGTCAGTGGTGAAATCAAAACTTTGCAAATTAAACAGAATTGGAAGAAGTCAGAATTCATGGACTGGACATTGGATCAGGTCCCAGTGGCTTAATGGTCTACGAGCTAACTAGCCTTGTAACCAGAAGTTCCTGCGTTCGAACTCTGGTGGTGGGTGCGCACTGCTGAAGGGTCCTAAACTAGGACGAAACAGCTGTCCAGTACTCCTTGGTGGTTTTCCAATGGTTCTCTAACCAATGTCAACTCATGATGAAATCCTGTAGCTAAACACTTCAAAGTAGAATTCCACTGTGAATGCCCTCGTAAGTGCTAAGCATACATACGAGAATATGTAAGCCTCTTGATACCCTGTAAAATGTAAGATGATGCTGCAGGATTGGACTTCACTGACCCCTAGATTAGAAATAGGAAGTGAAGTGGTAGAACACGTTGACCACTCCACTTACTTGGGAAGTACCATCAGACTGCGCCAACGGGTTGATCTCAGACGACATTTCAACACGAATACAGAGGGCTAGGTTCGCATATGCCAGTTTACGCCGTCTCTGGCATAGACGCGATATCCGATTATCGACCAAAGGGCGTGTGTACTGCTCATCAGTCCGCTCCGTCCTCCTTTATGGC